CACGGTAAAATTATCAAAGGCTGACTGGTCCGCGGCGATAAAAAGGTTGGGGACCACTGATCTAATGGGTCTTTGGGAGGTAATTGGCAGCAGGCGGTCTCTCAAGTACCCAGGTCCAATACCATGAAGGGCTTTATAAGTGACGACTAGCATTTATCACAATCTAGATGGAAAATATCAACTTATTGAGATGGTTAAATTCCTTTTGGGGTACTTGCTTGATTGACTGATTTGATGCTACTTTACAGCAAATCCATTTAGTTTTATCTATAAGTGGATGGTTGTTTATTTGCTAATGATGAGCAATTCTGAATGAGGCCTGTCATGATTTGTCAGAAATATTTTAAATTTGTGGTCATTTGCAGATTAATGTTTGTTAGTTGCAAGTTAAGAGTTGGATCAATATTGCAGTCAGAACAGTAGAAGCCTATACATTTTTTTATTGACAAATGAGGTAGAAAACTCTTAGTCTGAAGGTAAGATTTAATATAATAAAATAATGTCCCTATTTGTCAGCAGCAGCATCACACATGTAGTGACAGTGTGTATTCATAAGATTTGTTGTCAGACAAAGCATCAATTAGGAAAGTGAATTATCTCAGTGATTCAAACAAAAATATAAATTACGCTGGGTGACATAACCTTAACCACAAGTCTGTGGAGTGATAGATCAGTCCAGGCAGTGTTTACCACTTCCCCTTAAAAGGAATATTTCTTTATGGTATATTTTTTTTCTCTTTAAGATTACAGAATAAAGTAAAATACATTGTACAATTTAGGTACCAAATAAGTTGTACAATATATTTACTTTCTTCTATAATCTCTAAAACTATCTTAAGCAGTCACTAAGGTAGATTTTCTCATATACAAGTATGTTTTGAGGCTTGAAAATCCTGTTTGTCATTTAATGATAATTGAGTTTTAATATATATCCCTTCCTCTCTATTAGTCCAATAAATCAAGGCCTTATTCTACCATCCTGTTTTTCATAAGCCACCCAGCCAACCGTGCACTGAGGGAAATATAATCCCCAAAGTCAATTACCTGGAAGAAGGAGGTTTCCAGACTCAGTGGCCATGATGGACAAGTTAATCAACTTGAAATAAGACAAGATTCTGCTTATTTTCTTGACTTTAGTATTGTAATAACACTATGCTGAATATATGCTCTATATTGCCTTCACATACTTATGGTAAGAATCTGTAGACTGGTTACAAGTACTTTTCATTGGAAGGATTTCTGTAAAGTATTCTTTTGTATACACAATTCTTCACTGGATTTTATTTTAGCAAAAACGGGGTGTTAATCAGGATTACAATAGCCATGTATTTCCTGCTTGGGGCCAAAGGCCTTCATATTGTGTTGTTGTTATTATTGTTGTTGTTGTTGTTGTTATGTGTGGTTAATCTTTGGTGAGATTCACAGCCTTTGGGGCTGGTTGGTAGCTCAACAGCTCGAGTCCTAACCATTATTATTATTATTATTATTATTATTATTATTATTATTATTATTATTATTATTATTATTATTATTATTATTATTATTATTACTTTATTCATTA